GGGGGCGGGGTGGGGCGACCCGAACGGAAATTTCTAACTTTTTTTTTAATTATTAATCCCGTTCCTGCTGTGGATTCTGTTGTCATTTCTAAATTTTTAAATTTTTTTTAACTTTTATTTTTTACCTCTTGTGTATATGTAGGGAATTTATAGGGGCATATGTACTTTATGGAATAAATTTTAAGAACTAAAATATATTTTATTTTAAATAAAGTAATGGACCTTTTAATCTTACACAGCTAAATTACTGATTATATATTTGCTGAGCTGATTTAAGGGTTAAAAATTGTACCCAGAGTTTTATTTTTTGACTTCGAAGCCTTCCTAATAAAGCCTTTTTACTACAACTGAGCGCTTGGCGTCCGTGGGCTGAGGCTGGGGCAGGGGCGGGCGCCGTCGGCCCCCGGCCGAGTCGGGTCTGGCTCTCACAGCGCCGAGCTCCGGGCTGTCCCCAGGGCAGCCTGGCTCCAGGGGGCAGACCAAGACCGGGCAGCCCCTCCCCAGGGTGGTCCCGGTGCCCAGGCCTCGCCAGTTCCCGGCAGGCCACAGCGCATGGTGCCACCAGACGGCTCTTCAGGGCTGGGCGTGAGCGTGGGAGGGGAAGAAAAAGGGACAGCAGATCTAGGGCCAAGGCTGGGGTCAGGGGGTGGGGCCCGGGGAACAGAGTGTGCTGAGAAAGCCGGGAATGCTGGAGGGCTTCCAGGAGGAGGCAAGGGACAGGGAACAGGAACAGCCAGCGAAGGACACACCTGGATGCCAGCCCAGCCTGGCCTGGAGGATACTCCTGGGCCTCGAACTCCCAGCTCCGGGAGCTTACAGGGTGTGGGTAACACATGGTCCCCCGAGACACATGGCCTGGACCTTGAATGTGACATTTGGCGAAAGGGCCGTTGCAGATATAATGAAGGGTGAGCCCGTCCTGACCGGGGTGACCTAAAGCCGAGGACATGACACCTTACCAGGCAGAGACCCAGCCCCACAGGAGCAGGTGAGCGGCACGGAGGCCCCCCACCCGGAGCTTCCCAGGGGGACCTGCCACTCCTGGCCTCAGATCGGCCTCCGTACTTCAGCCGCAGCCTGTCACATCTGCACAGGGGCCCAGGGGACTAATGTGACGGTGACACTTAGCCACGTCTGGCCACACTTAGGCAGAAGGCAGCCAGGGGACGTGAGCAGATGACGCCCAGAAAAGGGCGGCCCGGGGGAAGGGAGAGGACGTGGAGGGGCCTCAGTGAGGAGGCAGGGTGAGGGGCAGGGGGCGGAGGGAGTGGGAGGTGGCCTCGGGCAGACCCGGGGTGGCCCCCTGCCTACAGGGCTGCCCGCATGGCCCCGGGAGCTGGCCGGAGAGCGACCCCTCCCCATAGGGTTTTGCTGTAGAGCACAGGCACTTGCTGGGCAGGGCGCGAAGTCACCTCCGGGGGATGCCACATGCTGCCGTCCTCGTCCCCCTCCTGGGGTCCCGGGCACGCTAGCACTCCGGCCTGCTGTGAGTTCCAAGCCACCGGTCTGGGACTGAACCCGGGTGGACGCCAGGGGTCCAGCAACGCGGCCACCACGCCCGGCAGGCCCC